AAAATGCCACTCCACGCCAGGATCTCTTTTGCGCCCCTCAGAAATGTGCAAGTCAGTAAGTTAGCATTCCAGTCATCAGTTGGAATTCGTGCACCTCCATCGTTTGGTTCGTAGATACTTCTTTATAAAAAGGACAGAAAGAGATAAAAGGGTAACGTGGAATGAAGGTGGTTAACTTAAAGATGAACAGTGCCTGAAAAAGTCAGCATGTTTGAAGGGCGGCTCAACCTGTCCACCAAGAGGTGGGTCAAACATGGGGTTCAAAGATTTCTCCTCTGTACCCCCAAATCTGCCTCTGTTTCCAAAAATCTGGAGGTATCATGTTATGATGACACTACTGTACCTGCAAGAGGTGACATTTTAGTAGATGATATGGACAATGCTATTAGAAGTGTCACGTAACCCCCCTGTAATAGTTTAGCTGTCGATCTGTTTCTGGGCAGAATTCAAAGTCCTGGTTCTCACCTTGAAAGCCCTAAAACGGCTTGGGTCAGAGCTATCTGGAAGACTGCCACTCCCTTTCTGAGCCTGCCCAGGTATTAAGATCATCAGAGGAGCCCTTCCTCTCAGTCCCACCACCTTCACAGATGTATTTGACGGGAACACGGGAGAGGGCCTTCTCTGTCGCTGCTCCTTTAGACTCTGGAACTCCCTCCCACTGGAGGCCAGGCTGGCCCCGTCTTTGCTGTCCTTCTGCAAGGACATGGCACTTCCCAGGTCCTTTCTTTATATCTGAAGAATAAAGTTCTCTTTCCTCTTCTAAGTTTCCTCTTCTCTCTCTAAAGTTCTCTTTCCTCTTCTTCTTTGATTTGCCTTGAAAAAAATCAACTTTAAACAATCTATATGTTTCGTTTCTCAAATGTTCTAGCTTTCTGCATGTTAAAGTTTTAATCATTTCTTGGTCTTTCTTCATTTCATCCAAGTACCTCTTATTTGGTGCAAAAAAAAAATTATTATTGTCCTGAGTGAAATATGTCATGTGTTGTTGTGTTGTGTGTTGAATGGGATGAATGATGATGGCCATGCACACTGAACAGCAACCAGTTTGCGGACCAGCCAGTTTGGGGTGGGATGGGGTTGAGGGACTGGGCTTCTGTGGCACCTCTGGTGCCAATATTTGCATGCGATACAAATATGAATATCCCATGTCTAAATGCCATGTAACAGAAATGAGACTACCTAGGGCCTTACACTGTCTGTACGAACCACAAGAAAACGTGGAATACAGAGTTGCAAACTCTCCCTGCTGCAGTGTAAAATTATTTGAAGGTGGCTTGGTCTTGAATGGGATTTAGAGCCGTTAACTTTACAAAAGACCTGCTCTTCAATTGGTCATATGCCCTGAATCCAGCAGCCGGTGTGATTGAACTCTCTTTATTGGACTGGGTGGCTGGCATGGATTGTCCCAATGAGCCCCTGGCCTTCCAAATATACAATCATACCTCTGGCATTTCATTGGAAAGGGGTCAGAGATGAAACAGGGTTCCCCTGAGACCCTGGACCGACGCGTCACTCCGTGGCCACAGCGTGGTCTAAATGCACAAATGCTGTTCGCAGCATAAGCTCTGCGTGTTCCTAAAATGTTTTTGTGGCAGGCTTCAAAATGATAGCTGGAATTGAAATGGCACCCGAATTGGTAAATCAAAAAGTTCTGGAATTTCAACAGTCTTCTCCTCCAGTTTTTAATTCGAAACATCGCACATTGTGGATGGCCCTACCTTTAGGCACACTGAGGGAGCGGCTTCAGGCGGCATATGCTAGGAGGTGACAAACAGGACTTTGTCTATGTTCCAGGGACTCCTTTTTGGGGCTCCTTTGCCCCCAAAAGGCTGATCTCAATTGAAGGACATTTTTTAGAAACATACCCTATTTAAATCTTAGCTCCTGTTGGTGGATTTCGAAGCAAAAACGTTCACCGTCACCTTCTTCAACCTCTTATTTTTACACCTTGTCGGTCGGGATGAAAGAGCCTCGTGGTGCTGTGGCTAAACTGCAGTCCTGTGGTCAAGACTCTGCTCAAGATCTGAGTTTGATCCCGGCAGGCTCGGAAGCGAGTTCCAGGTTGACTCAAACTTCCATCCTTCTGAGGTTGGTAAACTGAGTACCCAGCTTGCGGTGGGGGGTGGGGGTGGGGGGCAATGTGTAGCCTGAAAAATTAATTTGTAAACCACCCCAAGAATGTTGTATGTGCTATGGGGCAAAATATAATGACAAGAGTACTCTGAATGTTTACATAACGGAGTATACTAGACTTTCAGTTCTCACAAGTCTCTTTCTGAGGTTTTTTTGCACCTTTTCTGAATCTATTTATTTACTACAACTCAGTCCTCTCGTTAAACCATGATATCCAGAAGCGATTGAGCTCCGTGGAAGTTCAGTTCCAAATTCTTACATAGAATTCACCCACCTCGTTTTACAGTATGCCTCTCCTCCAAGCAGAAAGAAATTAGGTCTAATAGGTTTATACCGGGAAAAGACATAAGGAGGCAGCATTTGTTCAAGAAGGAAAGGGATTTAGAAACAGGACTAGCGGATCTCGAATTATGAACGGAGCACTTTTGACCGAATGGCCTTGTAAAATCCTAGAATCGTGGAGTTGGAAGGGGCCTGAAAGGTACATTGACTCCAACCCCCCTGCTCAAGGCACGAATCCCAATCGAAGCTGATCGGAGAAAGGTCAGGTCCAGTTTGGTACATGACAGGGGGGCAGAGTTTAGCACTGCAACATCTTCTAGCGTTTCAGTGTTCATATTGATTATCTGGGTTTATATCACCCAAATGACACTATATCCACAAACCTTCGGGGCGGAGAGACCCCAGGGTTTCCAGAAGTATAAGGGGGAAAAGAAGAAGAACCGAAGGAACCCCCCCCCTTCTAACAATCCACTTAAAGGCTAAGTATGTTTAGTGCCCATGAAATAGAGAGCATCTTTTTCAGGAGCAGTCTACCATGCAATTTTATTTTGTTTGCCGATTCTAACTGTAATCATTAAAAAAAAACTCAAGAAGAGGTCAAAGGTTCATCCAGCTCAGCATCCTAGAATCGATAGCTGTTTCATTTTCTTTATTCTATGCTTTAAGAGCAGTGCCGAATATCCGGAAGGTGGGGGGGGGAAATTTCCTCCACTGCCCTTTGGGTGTGGAGTTCGGCGCGCTTGTTAGGAGGGGAAAATAACGACGTTCAGAAGCATTACTCTTCGTTCAGACCTTTCTGCAAAGAAAGAGGGGGGAGGAAGAAACCGGAAAGTAGCCGTCAGCAAACAAGGGCAAAAGACCAAGGAACAAAACCGAAACGGTCCTTTCGTGAGTTCTCACCTTCGCTCCAATATCGCGGCTCTTGGCCCTCAGCTTGTTGACCTGGGACTCGGCGATGTCCGCCCGTTCCTCAGCTTCGTCCAGCTCGTGCTGAACCTTCCGGAACTTGGCCAGGTTGGTGTTGGCCTGCTCCTCCTGAGAAGGACGCCGAAACAAAGAGAGGGAGATGTTTGTTAAATCCGGGAGGAAGTAAGGGCTTCAAAAAGGCCTTTGTTTCCAAAGTAAGCCCTGAGCCGGACAGGAAGGAGGGAATCGTTGTGATATCTAGCGAGGTCTGGACCACAGCTGCACGCGCAGAGAGAGGCGGAATGGCTTGTAGCCTCCTCATTTTATGCAAGTGGTGGATCCGCTCCGGATTTTAATCCGAACTTAAAATGAAGCTTTTTAAAGAAGAGAGTCCCTCCCAAAATTCAGGACTTCGGACAGCTCCTTTGAAGGGCCACCAGCCGCCCGTGCAGATCGTTTTTTTTCAAGGTCTTTCCTCCCATGGCCAATCATTTGAAGTGAAACATCTGGTCAATGAAACAAGAGGGGACACCCCCCTTAACAAATTCCTTACACAGAAAGGCTTTCTTATGGGCCACTCCATTAACACTTGGGCAAAAACCTGTTCTCCCTGTCATGTCCATTTCATCTAAGGCTGCTCATACTTGATTGATTGATTGATTGATTGATTGATTGATTGATTGATTGATTGATTGACTGAGTGACTGACTGACTGACTGACTGACTGACTGACTGACTCTTGTGGCTCTGCTTTGCAGCTTTATTCAGCTGAGTATGTTTTTCTTTTTTTAAAACCAAACCACCTCGGAAGGAAAACCGAAGAAGAGAATATATCCAAAATAAATCAATATGTGTCTCGCTGTTCTTCTGTGGAATTCAGGTCCGGACAATTTCCTGTCCAGACAGGGTTAGCTTTTCCAAAGGGACGGCCCCACCACCCTTCAAGACTGTGCCCAGTGACAGAGGGAAGGTGGTGCCACACTTTACCTGTGGAAGGGGAGGCCAACCAACCTGTGGTTCAAGAGTGGAACGGCCTCCCCCCCCACTACATTCTCCAAAGGCAACTAAAATATATTTTAAAAATTAATAACCCATCGGATAAGAAGCTTTAGCTGCTATTTATCTCATCCGGACATGCTTAAAAAGCACCTTCTCTCACATTCTACCCCTTCCCAAGACACTCAAATAAGGACTGCCGCTTCTCTTATATCATCATTTCGGGCCTAAAATTCCCTGGGGAGCTGGGCTTTTCTAGCTGCCCAATTCCTTGTCAAAACCAGCTTGTCAATCAACCTCTGTCCAGATTTTTAGAAAACGGACCTTTAAAAAAAAAAAAGCAGAATCTGCAGGCTGTTGTGGGTTTTAACCATTTGGCCTTGTTTAACCAGTTCATCGGCTTGCCCTTTACAATTGCATCGCATTACAGTGGTGCCTCGCTAGACAGTTACCCTGCAATAGCGTTTTTTCGCTAGACATTGACTTTTTGCAAGTGCTATAGCGATTCACGAAACAGTGATTCCTATGGGGGGAATTTCACTGGCCAGTGTTTGGTCCCTGCTTCGCAAACCAATTTTCGCTAGACAACGATTTTGACAGCTCCCTCCGTGCTCGCAGAATGGTGTTTTTGGGACCTAAGCTTCGCAAGACAGCGATTTAAACAGCTGATCGGTGGTTCGCAAAGCGGCTTTCCTATGGCTGATCTTTGCTAGACAACGACGATTCTTCCCCATTGGAACGCTTAAAGAGGTTTCAATGCATTCCAATGGGGAAATGCTTTTTGCTAGACGATGATTTAGCTAAACAGCGCAATTTCAGTGGAATGGATTATCATCGTCTAGCGAGGCACCACTGTACTTTTTAGAAACACCAATTCAAATGGAATCAGATATTGGATTTTCGTTTGCTTCTGCTGTCCATTCTGTGGTTCAGGCAGAAGGATAAATGCACGTGCATTTTTCGGGCAACAAGGCGAAGTATAAATAAAGAGTAACGTCGCCTGTCTAAGTCTGAGCAGGATCAGGAAAAAAAATAAAAATCCAGAGGCTGAAGGCTGAACAGGAAGGATGCCGTGAGATTTATTTCGTGGGCAGGAAGTGCTTTGCCAGGATGATTGTTTTTTAAGATACAAGTGTGGGAATAATATCTAAAAGCAAGTACTTGAAGAGGCTAAGAGGGGAAGGGAATCATCAAGAATGACTGGCTACCTACCGATTCTTCTGCCTGTCTCTTGTACGCCTTCACTTTCAGCTGAAGCTTATCCACCAGATCCTGGAGACGGACAAGATTCTTCCGATCCTCCTCAGTCTATGTCATGAGGACAGAAAGAGAATTCAGTCATTATTTAGTCAAACCGGAGAACTGACAGTTTTGGATTTTACATTTTTCCTGTCACTGTGTTGAGTTCCTCTTTCCTTGTGTTCCGATCCAGAGTTAAACAATGGCGGCGATGTTTTAAAGCTCCTCTGTGGCAAGAAATAAGAGGGTTTTTTTTTATTTTAAATTGTGCACGCTGCTGCAAAACTCTGGTTTCTAGTCTCTGAAAAGCAGGGAGGGGAGAGGAAGAATTATTTTTTTTACTTTTCTTGCTCCTGAACCATCTTTTCCACCTTGAATTTCCTCCGAGCAATTTTACAAGTTTCCCATAAACTCAGAGTGCCAGGAGCAGGCTGCTGTTCTGACTAGCTGGTAATAATAAGTTACTATATATACTTTTATTTACTGTATTTATTTAAAATATCCAGGCTGGATAGCTCAGTAGTTTAGATATCTGGCTGCAAGGCCAGAGGGTTGGGAGTTCGATTCCCCCCCCACTGTACTACTTGGGAGTAGAGCCAGCCTGGGTGGCGTTGGGCAAGCTGCACCGTCCCAGAGCGCCCCTAGAGGAAGGGAAGGGTAATGCATTTCTGAGTCTTCTCTATCTGGAAAACCCTGGAACATTTCGCCATAAGTTGGAATTGACTTCATGGCAAACGGATATTATTATTATTATGGGGAACTGAGATAAACTTAACTGGTATTGTCATTTTATTCTCAACTTGAATGCCTTGCCTTTAGATTGTCTTATGCTCCAGCTCAGCCAAACGATTTAAAAATACTGAAGACCATCAAAACGCCCCTAAACCTGAATGCTTGTTAAAATAAGGTTTGGACAGAGAGAGCAAAGTCAATGGCACATAAACATTTCAGCCCCTAGGGCAAGGTAGACGGGGTTATTAGAGCCACCACTCTTAGTGTTGCGGTCAATGACGATGGTCTGCCTTACGAGGCAGGGCTCAAGGCATCTTACAATCCTTATAGAAACAAATAAATTGAAACATAAGACCCTTAAAAGGAAATAAAACCAATGCTGAATGGTTAAAATCGGTGAGGTGTTGATAGGTGGTAGGTGAGCTCACCTGGTAGGTCAGCTCCTTGATGCGCCGCTCGTACTTGCGCATGCCTTTGACATTCTCGGCGTTGCGCTTCTGCTCGGCCTCCAGCTCGTTCTCCAACTCCCGTACACGGGCCTCCAGTTTCTGGAGTTGCTTCTTGCCCCCCTTCAGGGCCAGCTGCTCGGCCTCGTCCAGCCGCAGCTGCAGGTCCTTGATGGTCTGCTCCATGTTCTTCTTCATGCGCTCCAGGTGGGCGCTGGTGTCCTGCTCCTTCTTCAGCTCCTCTGCCATCATGGCCGCCTGGCTCCCCATGAAAGACAACCGAGAACCCCCAGGGAAAATGTTTTGAAAAAGAGAGGTAGAGAGAATGAGTACTCATTGGGCCAACCCAAGACTCATTTTCCAAGGGTTGGGTTGATCACACACTTCATGAAAGCTGCTGAGATGCAGGCTTCAACACACATCTTGCATGCCCGCCTGGAACAAGACGGCCATTTTCTTTTAGTTTTCCAAAGGAAGTGATAATGTTGTGATTCTGATCGAAACATCACTGCTTATGTTCTCTCTAGTGGCCTGGAACAAGACGGCTATTTCCTTTTAGTTTTCCAATTTTGTGATTCTGATCGAAACGTCACCGCTTGTGTTCTCTCTGGCAACTCAAGGTTGCTCATAGACATTATACAATACTCTGTTGTAAGACACATTAAATGCATCTGCTTCAAAATTAACCAAAATGGCAAATAATCAAACATTAAACTAATATTGGTCCAACCTCATACATAAATAACCCCCCCCCAAAAAATCACTTTTCCAAGCTGTGTTTTAATGTTTTGTTTGTTTGACTTGACAGCTAGAATTTACCCTTTCAAGAAAATTTAAATGCATTCAAAATTAACCAAAATGGCAAATAATCAAAACATTAAACTCATATTGGTCCAGCCTCATACATAAATAAGCCCCCCCCCAAAAAAATCACTTTTCCAAGCTGTGTTTTGTTTGTTTGACTTGACAGCTAGAATTTACCCTTTCAAGAAAATGCAAAAATGTTGTAGAGAAGGACTCACATCTGTGATGGCTTTCTTGGCCTTCTCCTCAGCGTTTCTACACTCCTGAACCGCTTCTTCCACCTCCGTCTGCAGCTGGGACAGATCAGACTCCATCTTCTTTTTCTGGTTGATGAGGCTGGTGTTCTGGATTGCAAGAGAAATGGGAAACGAACACACCAGTGATTTTTTTTTTACTTTAGCTGTTGGTCTGTTGAAGCCTGAGATTGTGTTGTTGAGTCCTTCAGAGGGAACTGAAAGTGGGTGCAGATTTATGGGCTCAGAAAAGAGTGAGAAAGTTTTCTCTGCATCCTTTAGATTCTTAGTGCAAGGTGATCATTCTGTCCACTGGCTACTCATTCTAGCCTTCTCCTTATCACCTAGAGTCCTCATCTCTGAATTTTAACACCATCCTAGCAAATCCTTATATATCCACAGTTCTACACTTCCTTTAAAGTCCTGATGAACATTTTGAGCGACATTGTTTACAACAGAGTGGCATCAAAAAGTGTTTGTGAAATATTTTGTCAGCTTCTCCTTTCTTTTTGAAGGAGAAGCTTCAGCTTGCCTCGCTCCAAATCCTACTTTATCAGCCATTTATGGTGCTATAATCTACCAATTTCTCCACCTTGTCTGTAGCTGGCCTGACCTCATGCTCACCACTGCTCAATTTATATCACAGACCACCTTGAGAAAGCAGTAAACATTTGGATTCTGCTTCTCAAGAAAATTTGAAGGCCAACACCATTTATGACATTCTAGGAGGTCACTAGAGGCCAATGGCAAACTTGGGAATAGTTCCACCAAAGGATGTTTGAAGGGAAAACGTTGTTTGCATAATTAGGTTGTGAACTTCCCAGAGAGTGGGGCGGTATACAAGCCAAAACCAACAACTTCTGTTTTTGGCCTCCACACAATCTATAAAGTGTTAAGAATGTAAGTTGCCTTCGTTGTGTTCTCTCTTACTTGGGTGTGGAGTAGCTGCACCCTTTCGCTGGCCTCCAATAGCTCCTGCTCGGCCAGTTTACGGGCTCGTTCGGTCTGTTCCACCACCGCACGCAACTCCTCTAACTCTGCCTGCAACAGGTTGTTCCTCCGCTCAACAATGGCAATGTTTTCTTTCAGATCTTCGTTGGCTCGAACAGCATCGTCCAGTTGTATCTGGGTGTCCTGGAAAGCCAAAGGAAAGCCGAGATGAGGTGCAACGGAGGGTTGTGCCATAGTACCGAACTGAAGGGATGGGGCATGAAAGAAAAGACATCTAGACCGCCATTTTCTGGAGGTACCTTGAGGTAACCCTGCAAAGTTTTGACTTGCTTCTGAGCCTCCGCAGCCATGCGGTTGGCATGACTCAGCTGGATCTCCATCTCGTTGAGATCGCCCTCCATCTTCTTCTTCACCCTCATTGCCTCGTTCCGACTCCGGGTCTCGGCATCCAGAGAAGCCTGAAGCGAGTCCACCGTCCTCATGTGGTTGCGCTTGGCCTGTTCCATCTCTTCATCCTTTTCGGTTAATTTGCGCTCAATGTCGGCCTTGATCTGGTTGAACTCCAGCTGAGCTCGGAGGATCTTGCCTTCCTCGTGTTCCAGGGAGGCCTGGAGGGTAAGAACCATATTTTGGATTGAAGGAGAGAGCAAAATGGTGGAGCCAGGGAAAGCTTCAATTAAAACACACACACATAGGCAAATGGAAATATGAGGAATTTTACTTGAGAGTGTCTTTATGAGAGAGATTTACTCCACACACAAACACAAGTTAAGGACCACTCAGTCACAATAAGCATATCTGCTAAGCTTGTGGGAAACAAGTCATTTTTAATTGTTTAATATTTAAAAATTCAGTTAAGATGTCTGCTGAAGGTGATGGGAAAAGTCCCAATCACTGAATCGCTTGTTTTTATTTTAAAAAACAAAAAAACTGTAAAAATAAACAAACATTTTAATTGGTTGTTGTGGATTTTTCAGGCTGTTTGGCTGTGTTCTGGAGGTTTTTCTTCCTAATGTTTTGCTGGCCACAGAGACTGGCGAAACGTTAGGAAGAAAAACCTCATGAACATGGCCAAACGGCCTGAAAAACCCACAACAGCCATCGGATCCCGGCTGTGAAAGCCTTCAAGAACAGATAAAACATTTTAATTGTTCAGATTCCATCAGAGGTCTAACTTGTATTTTTCAAGCAAAAACGGAAGAAAACTAAAAGGATAAAGAAGAAAAAAAATGTTGTGGCACCCTAAAGAATAATCGCTATACAGTAATGTGAAGAATATATAAACCAAAAACGTCGTTTCCCATAGGAATGCATGCACGGGGGTGGCGCTATAAACCTCCCAGGTGCAATGCATCCTGGGGAAACTTTCTTTGCATTGCATAAAAATTTTTTATAAACCAAGGCATTATTTTCAAGTGGATTTTCTTTCGTAAACCAAAAATTACATTAACCGAGGCATTCGTAAACCGAAGTATGCCTATATTTTATGTGAGCTTTAGTGGACAAGTCCACTTTCTCGGACCCTATTTGAGAGCATGAAAGGATGAAGATTTTCCTCAATGTTTGTTTGTTTGGCTGACAAACCTGTGACCTGTGAGGTGATAAGCCTGTGTACGCCCTTCTCTTTCTCTCACACCATTTAGCTCAAACTTGGGAGGGATGTGAAGGCATGTGAAGGCAGGAGGAAACAAAAAATGGGGTACTGTCAGGAGAATGCAGGCTAGAAAGAAGAAGGAACCGTGCAAACAGTGAAGGAACGTGAAAGGACTGTGGTGGAGAATTAGGGTGTGGGCGAGGGACAGCCATCCCCACCTCCGCCTCCTCCAGAGCTGCCTGCAACTCCAGTTTCTCCGCCTCCAGCTGCTTCCGCACTTTCTCAAGCTCATGGATGCTCTTTCCGGAGGCTCCAAGTTGCTCGGTGAGGTCGGAAATCTCCTCTGTCAAAAGAGAGAGGGGAGAAAGCGTCAACTGTGCTTCTAGTGAGAAGAGCGCAACGTTCAGGGCGTGAGGGCCCCTGGCCGAGAAAGCCTTGGACCCCGAGTGAGGAAGCCTCACCCTGCAAGTTCTTATTTTCCCGCTTAAAGGTCTCCAGGTGCTCCAGCGACTCCTCGTAGGCGTTCTTCAGCTTGAAGAGCTCGGTGCTGAGGGAACGAGCCTCCTTTTGCGATGACTCCAGTTCCGTTTGGGACTCCTCGAACTTCTGCTTCCATTCGGCCAGGAGCTACAGAGGCCATCAAGAGAGACAGAGCGTTAAGAGTTGAGCTTGAGAACATGTTCTGTGGCTGCCATTTTGAAAGCTACTGGACGAGCCTAAAGACGTCAGAACCGTTGTGAGGGGAGAAAGAAAGAGACTCATTGCCTGCCCGTTCTGAAATGTTTAGGAAACGGGACCAACCCAATTCAGGATGTTCCAACTGGACTATCCTATACTAGTGGAAATCTTTCTGTGCTTGAGGAAACAATAGCTCAGAATAATAGAATCATTGAGTTGAAAGGGGCCTATAAGGCTATTGAGTCCGACCCCCTGCTCAAGGCAGGAATCCAAATAAGAACGGATCCAACAGTTGGCTCTCCAATTTTCTCTCAAATGCCACAAGCATTGAAGCACTCACTACCTCCTAAAGTCATGGGTTCCGTTGTCGTACTGCTCTAACAGTTAAGACGTTTCTCCTGATATTCAGCTGAAATCTGGCTTCCTATAACTTGAGCCCATTATGATGTGCCCTGCACTCTTTGAGAACAGATCCTGCCCCCTCCTCTGTAGGATGACCTTTCAAGTGTTTGAAAAGTGCTGCCTAATAATTGAAAAATGGTAACGATTACTCATAAAGTTCTCTCTGCCAGGATTGTCAGGTTAGGACAGGCATTCCAACTATTTAGACTGGGGAAAATGTCCTTATGGAAACTGGAAAGCCAAACCATTAAATGAAATTCCTAAAACTAGATTAGGGGTGTAATTACAGAGGGATCATGACAGACTTCCTCAAAACACCATACAGAAATCTTTCCCAGTCTTGTCACAGGAGATAGTCCAGTTGGGGAAGAGGGAGACAGAACTTGAAGTACAAGTTACACAACATGTTTTATATATCAAGTTTGTGTTTTCTTTTCCACCAAGCTATTCCGACTTTGTTCCATGAGGAAGATCAAAAACACTGCTCCTTAAGTCAAGGTGGCCCACCCTAACCAAGCTTTAGAAACTGGCTGCATGTCTCTGTATCACCGCTAGGTGGAGCTAAAGTACTCTGTATGGCTACTAGGTGGAGACAAAGTGCTCTGAATCCCCACTGGGTGGCACCAAAGTGCCCACAATGCCATGCCCTCTCGCTCGCTCTCTCTCTCACTCTCCGCCCACCGCTCCCAGGGTCTTCCCTCTGTTCTTCCCACCCTACTTTGTCAAAGTTCCTCTGCTTCTTATCCAAGGCAGCGGCCGCCGCGTTGGAACGCTCCACGTCCACCATGAGGTCTTCGATCTCGTTCTGCAGGCGGTGCTTGGTCTTCTCCAGCGAGGAACACTTGGCGTTCACGGCCTCCACCGCCTCCTCCGCGTCCTGAAGCCGCTGTGCCAGCTTCTTCCTGTGACGGGAGTGGGGGCGACATTGAGTCAACTGCCAAAGGAGGATCCCCATTCCACAGCCAGGTAAGCTGGGCCGGCCCTGCTGTTAAGCACAATGAGGCAGCTGCCTCAAGTAGGAGATTACGATTGTTAAGAAAGGACAGGAGACTGTTGAATATATGAAGTCTGTTGTTGTATTTTTCCTACAAGGGATGGGAATTTTCTCCCTCAGATGCCAAAAAAACCACACCCTTGCATTTTCAGTCTAGTCAGACCCCCATATCAGCAGCCTCGGTATCCACTGATTCACTTATCCACAGAGCCTCAGATGCCAAAAAAAACCACCCTCGTGTTTTCAGTCTAGTTGTACCCCCATATCAGCAGCCTCGATATCCGCTGATTCACTTATTCACATATGTCCTACATTACTTTGGATCTTGACTTGGACGGTAGCTAGTAAAACATCTTAAATGGTGTCTATGGGATAAAAACAAGGATTTTTTTTTTAAAAAAGAAAGGATGATGAGGAAAAAGTGAGGTCCATGGTATCTTAACGGTGATTCTTGCTTGCTATTCAAATGGAAAGGGGGGGCTTGAAAGAAACAAGAGGGGAGGGGAGAGAAGACTCTGAGGAAAGGGAGAATGAAAGGCATGAGGAACCCCCAAATGCACTGGTATGAAACAATGAGTGGTAAACACAGCCGACGAGGGGAAACGTTGGGAGCAGAGTAGCAACGGGTCTGTGCTTAATCTTGCTATGACGTGAGATGCAGTGAGCTGAAGACGCTTACTTGGCTTCTTCCAGTTCCTCAGTCCTCTGGATGGCGTCGGTCTCGTACTTGGTTCTCCACTGCGCCACCTCGGAGTTGGCCTTGGACAGCAAGCGCTGGAGCTCCGCTTTCGCCTCAGACTCCTCCTCGTACTGTTCCCTCAGCAGGTCGCAGTCATGGCGGGCCGACTGGAGCGCATGCGCCAAGGCGTTCTTGGCCTAAGAGTTAGAGGGATGCGTATACACAGACGGTGACCATGAGAACCAATCTAACCTGTATTTAATCTTCTCTTCGAGATCTCTTTTCCCCCTCAGCTTGGTCCCACAGCCTTCTAGAGTTCCTTACTTTAGCTTCTTCCTCCAGTTGTCTCTTTAGATCTTCCAGTTGTTGGGTGTAAGTCAGTTTCCCTCTTGTGAGCTGGCTTATCAAAGCCTCCTTTTCATCCAACTGGCGGGATAGTTCCCCTGTAAAGAGGAATGATCAGTCACATGGGGTTGAAAGAATCTCTGGAAATTTTATCTACGGGGCAGAATTTTCAGTGGGTTTTTTTTCCTTTTCATCTAGGTCAGCAGCCATTTTGATCCATGCCGCGAAGGGTTATTTCCTTGCGTATTATTATGAACGGGGTGGACCGTGAGGAAAAAAAATTGAATAGTTTGAAATGTGGTACTGGAGGATAGCTTAGAGGATATTCTGGACTGCCTGAAAGAGGAACAAGTGAATCCTAGATCAAACAAGCCTGAACTTTCTCTGGAACCAAAATGATGAAACTGAGGCTGCTGTACTTTGGGCACATCATGCAAAAACTAGAGTTGCTAGGACAGGCAATAATGCTAGTAAAAGTTGAAAGCAGCAGGAAAAAGGAAGACCCAATGAGACATGGATTGACTTAATAAAGGAAGTCACAGCCTTGAGTTTGCAAGACATCAGCAGGGCTGTTGATGATAGCAGATTGTCGAAAGCAACAGGAAAAAGGAAGACCCAATGAGAGATGGATTGATTCAATAAAGGAAGTCACAGCCTCGAGTTTGCAAGACATCAGCAGGGCTGTTGATGATAGCAGATTGTGGAGGTCACTTGTTTATTGGGCCACCTTAAGCTGGAGAAATCCTGACAGCAGATAACGCAACAGCAACAAGCATGAAGTAAGGAATAATGGATGTCAGAAATCTAGCAAGAAAAGTTAGTTAAGAAACGATAGACGAAGGGCCATAGCTCAGTGGTCAAACATGTCCGTTGCACCCGGAAGGTCCAAAGTTCAATCTTTGGTATTGCTGAACAGGGCTGGGGGAAAACTCCCATCTATAACTCTGAAAGGCTTCTTCCCGTCTGCATTGGCTTAGGGCAGCTGGCCATGTTCCTAAGGATATTTGAAAGGTCGGAAAAGAAGAAAGTTGGAAAATGTGCCTCGTGCTCACCATTCTCAGTGTGGAGCTTGGCCCGCTGACTCGTGAGGTCGTGGACCATTCGCTGAGTCTCTTCGGACTTCGTCCGGTGCTCGTTCATTTGGTCCTCCAGAGTTCGGCACATTTTCTCCAGGTTGGCCTGAAACCCAGCAATGGTGTGAATTAGAAGGGAGGCGGGAAGGAACCCTGAAGAGAATTTAAAGGAACCATGGATGGATGGATGGATGGATGGATGGATGGATGGATGGATGGATGGATGGATGGATGGATGGATGGATGGATGGATGGATGGATGGATGGATGGAGATGGAACCTTAACGGAACCATGGATGGATGGATGGATGGATGGATGGATGGATGGATGGATGGATGGATGGATGGATGGATGGATGGATGGATGGATGGATGGATGGATGGATGGATGGGTTGTCTCAGAAAGAAAAAAGAAAAAGTGAAATGGAAGAAGTTGAATAAAAAGAGGGCCAGGGAAATGAAGGAAGAGGACAAATCAAGAAAACAGAAGGAAAAATGACCAAAAGAAGGGATTTTAGTATGAAGGCAGCAAGGAGAAATTACACCATTACTTTAATTCTGAAATGAAAGGTGTTACCAATCCAGCGTGAACCTCTCCAAAATTTATATCCTTTCCTCTTCCCAAATTAGCTGATTTCATGTCTTCAGCTCCCTTCTCCAAACTTTGACCCTATCACGAACTTCCATTCTACTCCCGAATCTTCTCTAACATTGGACCCGCCTCTAAAAATTAGCTCCGCCCTGCCCTCTTGACGTCACCATCTCTCCGCCCGCTTCTTGCGCAGGGTGGCCGCCGTGGCCTCGTGCTGCAGGGTGGCCTCCTCCAGGTCCCGCCGCATCTTCTGGAACTCGGTCTCCCGCTTCTTGTTCAGCTCGATCTGCACCGACGTGGCCCCGCCGGCCTCCTCCAGCCGCTCGCTGATCTCCTCCAGTTCCCGGGAGAGATCGGAGCGTTGTTTCTCCACCTTGGCCCGGGAGGTGCGCTCGGCCTCCAGCTCCTCTTCCAACTCTTCGATCCGTGCCTATGGAAAGGAGAAGCCATTGTTTTAAGGTGTGGGGTTCATGTGGCCTGTTGGCCTTATATGGCCCAGCCTATTGGTGTAGCCCCATTTATTTCTGAGACCCTTCTGATTCCTTCTGTGTTAAAAAAATATATATGTAAAATAATAATTCAGCTGCGGGCGGAAAAGTGGATTTCCATTCCAGAAAATCTCCAGAACTGATCCTTTAAATCAAGGTGCAAGTTCCCATCCTACACCTTACCTTGATTTACCACCCAGTTGAGTCCAAAGAGTTTGACCGGCAAAGCGATTTCATTTCCAAGGAGGGTGGTATTTATATATATATATGACTTTAATTTATTTACCGCTTGCTTAGTGCCGAATGCACTATTCTGGGAGGTTTACAAACAGTTAAATTAGAACTACAGCAAAAGAAAACACTAAAATATCGTACCCAGAATTTTAAAAAGCCTAAAAACTAGGAAAAAAAAAACAAGGATGCAGTCAATTCTCATCCTGAAGTGGAAACAGGAGTTGGGAAGTTCAACCAGAGTTAGGGAGTCGGAGATTTCTGGGCCTCTCTTAGGGTGGCCACATGGAAGACGTGTTATGATCCATGATAGACACATGGGTCAAGAATTGGGCTCATAATACATGGTTTGCCACCTCCTGCTTTACAAAGAGGTTGAAAAGCATACCCCTGAAATTTTTACACTCAAGTTTCTAAAAGCTTCCATGGTGATACGGAGAGTAATAACATTTCAATGCCAAGAAGCTCATGTTTTGGATAAAACTCTAGGGCCTAAACCCCATTCTTAATTCTAACTAGAGCAGGCCTACTGAATCAAGGGGATTTTCAGTAAATCAACACTCATGTAGATTCCATCTATTCAATGGGTCTACTTTCACTGGGAACAAACTAGATTTAGACCCTTATTTCTACAAAGACAAGGCCCATTTGAGTCCAGTACTGTTGTTCTAGATTGTTTTGGTCCAGAATTTGCCTGGGGACATTGGCCAGGATTCTTCTTCTAACTCAGCAGCACATAACACAGGATTGCATCACTCAACACAAGGATTACCGTCATGCGAGCAGAGGGGCGTTTTCTTGGGAGAAATCCCTGCTTACAGGACACAAGCATTAGTGTAAGCAAATTCCATAGTCTGGTGGAACCTTCTTCCCAACCAACAGAAAATCATTCACGGTATTGGTCTACATGAGGGGTGGGAATGTCCAAATCCTGGATATTTTACCTGCAGCTCTTTGAGCTTCTTCTGAAGTTGGATGCCCAAGGACTGCTCGTCTTCAATTCGAGCATTCAACGCGTTGAGCTCAAAATCTTTCCTGGGGGGAGGGGGAGGGAGACAAGAACCAGTTTGGGTCCAGCAATGGGACTGACAGGAGCAGCACACAAGCCCAGAACAAGGAACACACGGGAGAGAATAATGGTATTGGCAACCCTACTTCTTCAGCTTCTCGTCCAGCTGCTGCTTGTCGTTCTCCAAGTCCATGATGCTCTCTTGGGTCAACTTTAAGTCGCCTTCCAGCTTCCTCTTAGCCCTTTCCAGATCCATTCGGATTTTCTTCTCCTGCTCCAGGGAACTCTCCAGCTGTTGAACCAAGAACACAAAACATCTCCCAACCATCAGCTAAGTACAGTGGTGCCTCGCTTCACGATTGCCCTGCATTACGACGAATCTGCATTATGACGATCTTTTTGTGATTGCAATTGCGATTGCAAAACGATGGTCTAAATGGGGGAATTTCGCTTTGCGATGATCGGTTCCCTGCTTCAGGAGCCGATTCTTCACAAAACAACGATTTTCCAACAGCTGATCGGCAGTTTCAAAATGGCCACCGGGTAAATAAAATGGCTCCCCGCTGTGTTTAGGGATGGATTCCTTGCTATACAGGCAGCGAAAATGGCCGCCGTATGGAGGGTCTTTGCTGGATGATGAGTTTTAAGCCCATTGAAATTCATTGAAATGCGTTTCAATGGGCTTTTTATTTTTGCTTTACGATGTTTTCGCTTAATGGTGATTTCCCTGGAACGGATTATCGCCGTTAACTGAGACACCACTGTAAGAGCAGCAACTCCTCAATCCAAACTGATTTGGTGACACAAGACAAACACTGTCTGCCTGGAGTGTTAGTGCCGAGGCCCGTCTACTCACATCGTCCACCTGCTGCTCCAGTTTGACCCTGGCTTTGGTTAAAGTGTTGGCTTTGTCCTCCTCAGCCTGCAGGTCGTCCAGAGCTTGCTGGTGAGCTTCCTGGAGTGCTTTCTTCTCCTTAGTGAGCTTGATAATGATCTCATCCAAGCCAGCCATCTCCTCTGTGAGATTCTTGACCTAACGGCGCATTAGGATTGAGAGCATTAGCTAGTTTAGGCAGCCCAATTAAAATGAACATTTGAGCATGGGACCTCTGTTCCTCTTGCCATCTCATCATCTCTAAGGAAAAGTGCACAGTACAATGTTTTGTACACAGTAGGGCTCTCATAGCCCTGGGCTCTGAAAATATCCGCAGGATGAAAACATTAAAAAGATTAAATGAAAAAAAAAACAGGAAAAAAAGTATTTTCACGATGTATTTACCAGAACTGGCCACTAGTGGGTGCCAAAGACCATGCTATGAATTGTTGTCACTGAAATAAATAGCATGGTCTCTAGCTCCATCTGGTGGCCAGTTTTGGTAATAAATGGTTAAAATATTTTTTTTTCTGGATTTGTTTTTTTTACAATGCTGTCTATAGCATTTGCTATTATATGCAGTTTTCAGCACCCACAAGGGAGCTTGGAACCAATCCCCCATGGATATGGGGGGTTTTGGTAATAAATGGTTTAATTTTTTTTCTGGATTTGTTTTCTTTTACGATGCTTTCTATAACATTTGCTATTATATGCAGTTTTCAGCACCCACGAGGGAGCTTGGAACCAATCCCCCATGGATATGGGGGTCATGTTGTACAAAATTGGCATGTTCATTCGCTGGTATTGTTTGTTAGAGAGTCCTTTTCCTCAGTTTTGCCTGTCACTTAGCATGCCTGCCAAACCTGATGTAATTCGCTGGTATTGTTTGTTAGAGTCCTTTTCCTCAACTCAGTTTTAAAAGTCACTTAGCATGCCTGCCAAACCTGATGTACTTAACTTGACTGCATCTACCTCAGGCAAAACCTAGTCTACACAGTGACTGCTTTACCTTCAATGAACCCTCATGGCTCAGATCTGGCAGGGCTGAATGTCATTAGCTCTCCAACCTCTCTCACCAGCGGAAGTCGTTCAAACCTCTCCTTTCTTGAAATAACGCAACCCATCCCAGTTTGTTGACTCTAGAAAACTGTTAAGCTGCTCCTTGCTGAGACCACTCTCCATCCATCAAAACCCCATGAGAAACAAGGCCACATCAGTCGGGCTGTTAACAACGCCATGTCATTCAGGCATGTCACACACTGTGAAGGCCCTCAGCCTGGCTTTGCTCCTCCTGGATCATTAAACTTCAGCTAACGTGGCCAAGAGAAGGGGACGACCAAGGATGAGATGGCTGGACAGTGTCTGCGAAGCAACCAACATGAAATTGACAGACCTCCGGAAGGCAGTGGAAGACAGGAGGGCCTGGCGTGCTCTGGTCCATGGGGTCACGAAGAGTCGGACACGACTAAACGACTAAACAACAACAACAACGTGGCCAAAGAACTTTCAGAGACCAAATCAGCCTAACGTTAAGGTCACACACAGGTAGCCTGAGATATATACAGTAAACTGCTAATTCAGTGGTTGTAATGACCTCGAAGATTAACCCCACAGGTTTTGTGGCTGACTATGCAGGTAGCCTGAGATATATAAACTGCTAATTCACTGATTGTAATGGCCCTGAAGATTAACCCCACAGGTTTTGTGGCTGACTATTGCAGTGGGACTTTAGTGGTCTCCAGGAAAGTGGCTCTCTTAATCACAGCCGGAACCACTGAATTAAATGCAATGGACAGGAGAGAGTTCCAGCATTACTCACTTCAACAATCTAAAGAACCATCCACCTACACAATCCCTATTCAGTCCTGCTGGTGTCAACAAAACTCATTAGACTTCTTAATGAAGACCTTTTGGGGACTGACTCAAATGTCGCCTTCCTTTCTTCATCCTTACTTTATTCTCCGTTGCATGCTTCTCTTTCTCCACCTTAGCCAGGGTCAGCTCAAGATCGTCGATATCCTTCTTCAGCTCTGAACATTCATCTTCCAGCTTCCGCTTCTTGGCCGTCAGTTCGGCGTTCATCTCCTCTTCGTCTTCCAGTCGTTCTGTCTGTTCCTTTACCTTGGCTTCTAGCTGGATCTTGTTTTTGATCAGCTGGTCGCAACGTTCTTCGGCGTCAGCAAGATTGTCTTGCTCCTAAGGAAGAACCAAAAAAATTGTGAAGATGAAGCGCAGAAGCGCGGGGGGGTGTCCAGCTTTGCAACCAGAAAGGGATAAAACATTATCCTTCCCCAGAGGCATCGCTTCAAAGCTTTTGTGTCTGCGAAATCAAGCTGCGAACGAATCCTGCACTGATCTTCTGATGGTCAATGAATGAACAAAAGCGTGGAACATACAGAGCTGCAGAAGTCATGCTCCTAATTATGAAGCTGCTGTCTCACGTGTTCCTGACCTAAAACACCCAACGTTTTGGCCACTTAATTTTGAAAAACCCTCCTTGAAAGCCAAGCCATGACTTCCATTTGAACACTCCTCCACAAGGTTGGGAGCGCATCACTTACAGCCTGAAGTTGCAACTGGAGGTCATTTTTTTCTTGCAGTAAAGACACCATCTTCTCCTCCAACTCTTTCCGACGAGCTTCCGACTTCTCCAGCGCTTCCTTTAATTTGCTGAACTCTTCCTTCATGGCCAGCATCTCCTTCTCGGTCTCCGCGCTCTTCAGCAGCGGCTTGATCTTGAAGAACAGTTTCATCCAGGGCCAATTCTTCACTCCCATGAACGCCCGGATGTTGTACTGGATCACAAGGAGCGATTCTCTGCATAGACGCAACACATGCACAGAGGAAAGGAAAAAGAAAACGTCAGTGTCCCAAATGCAGAAAATGCCACTCCACAATACGGAAGACCTTCCCTTCCTTCAGCAGATGTTCTATCAAAATAAAATAAAAAGAAAGTTAGCTTCCCCACGTTAAGTCTCATAACCAAGATTGCAATTTGTGCTTATTCCACAGATTTTGACCATGAAAGTATAAAATTCAACATCCCAGGAACCTACCCTTTCATAAAGTTTCTAGTCCTTAAGACTATGCAGATGGGATTGATAGGAGATACTAAAATTTCAGAACGTGAGGGTGCCGTAAAATCCCTTCCTTCTTAAAAACCGATCAGATGCCTTGGTTGTGCTATGGGGCACACTGTGGGGCTGCATTAAGCCCGGGCATCTCATTTCCCAACTCAAGAATGCAGTAAGGGAAGAGCAACGTGTGATACAGTTGGAGGGATCAGCCCTGAGAGCTGGACATATCTGATGCTGATATTTCTGATCAAGAACTCCCTTCCTGTTCTCTTGCGCTCTCTCTGAGCCATCAGATATGTTTTTACTTGGAGATGTCAAGAATTAAACATGGGACCTTCTCTGTGTCTAGTTTAGATTTCAATGCAAATATGTTCGTTTTTGCTGTGCTTTAATCATCATCGTCATGTGCTATCAAGTCTGACTTATGGCAACCCTTTCCAAGTCGAGAGTACTCAGAAGTGGTTGACCGTCCCCTTTTTCTTCGGGGGTGCCCTGGGACTCTGCAGCTGGCCCAAGGCCCCCCAGGCTGGCTCTTCTCTCAGGAGGCACCGGGGGGGGGAATCGAACTCCCAACCTCTGGCTTGGCAGCCAAAGTCCTAAACCGCTGAGCTATCCAGTTAGCCTGCTGTGATTTAGATCGTGTTTTTACCCTTTCCATTAAGGTCTTCATAAGAATTATTGCTGGGTCTTTCAATCTCAGTGTGTACTTATTCTTAAGTGAGCTTACATGACAATTTAAATTTTGTACTGCCTTGTTCCTGAATTCTCTTGAGGGGTTGTTCCAAGTTTTGTTTCCTGAAGCTGCGAGCCCTTTTGAAATTTCAGCAGGGGGGAAGTGGCGTACATCTGAGGAGGCAGGGATTCGAAGAGCATCCGTTACAAAAACAGATTATGAAAATAGATATTATAGTAGTTTCTGTTTGTCTTGGTTCTTAATTGATTTTTGGTGTACATAAATAGAATTTGTTCCACAAATTTAAACTTAAATGGTCCCCATCCTCACTCATCTTCATTCTGGCAGGTATCCATAAGAACAGTAGACGTCCTTCTAAATCTTGACAGCTTCCAAAAGGATGAGAGCAGGAAAGGCAGTCAATGTACTGGCGTGCGAAGCATCTCCAGAGCCTTCCTCCAATATTTTATTTAGCTAGCCTTTCATTCATTTATTCACAGCTCTTTTTTTTTTTATTCCGTTACATAAAGCTTCTCAAAGCGAGGTCAACGGAAAAAGACCGAAACACTTTTTAAAATTCAAATTCTAGTGATAGATCAAATACCTGAAATTCATAAACAAAACCATCAGAAGCCACGGGGATCCTTTAAAGGCACAGCTGGATAACAGTATTTTTAAACTGGCTTTGAAATAATGGCCAGAATCCTATTAACGTCTGCATGTCGGCATAAATAAGCCGTGCAAATGGATGCAGCGAATTCCTGTTCGTTAAGAAACCGGGGCCTGTATTTCTCATCGCATGTCGGTTGCGCAATTAGAAATAAAACTGCAGATTTCTTAACTAGCGGGACTTTAAGACAGTGATTTACAGCTATGCCGCTAGACTTAACAACGGCATGCATAAATAAGGGGGTTCTTTCCACCATTAGTCAACTGGGCAAAACAAAAGGCCCATGGACCTGTTTTGTGGGGCTCACACCGGAAGATCCTATTTCTTATGGGATATCAAGATGGCATTCGTGTTTTTTTCCTCCACTGAAATACACGAGCATATCCATGGTGAAGCTTACTTTCGTTCCATGATCTTCCTGACTTCTATCCTGGCAAGGACGCCGCGAGACTGGGCCTGGATGCGGGTGATGATGCGAGAGAGGCGCTCGTCCCTCATCTCCTCCAGCAGCCCCAGAAGACCTGCTTTGAAGAACACCTAGCGAGAGAAGGAGAGTCTTAGGACCTCCTCGTTCCCAGCGGGGCAAGACCCAACCAACATGAGAAAGACTCTGCCCGTCTCGTAGAGGGAGTGGCGAAGAACAGTCCTGCCCTCGCCTCACCTTGGTGTGTCCGAACTTGTATTGGTTGTGGTCAATATCTAGGGAGCTGAGCAGCTTCTCGGCACCCTTCCTGCTGTCGATGAACTGGCCCTCAGGGATGGCAGCTGGATTCAGGATGCGATACCTGGGGATAAGAAAGGACGCCCCTTTCTGTTTTCAGCTCAACCTGCCTTCTTTCTTTATCTAACGACCGTGGTGTGAATAGAATATTTGGTGGCCCCCAACCTTGGGGCCTCCAGATGTTCTTAGACTACAACTCCCAGAAGTCTTCACCACTACCTCTGCTGACCAGGATTTCGAGAGTACTCAGAAGTGGTTGACCGTCCCCTTTTTCTTCGGGGGTGCCCTGGGACTCTGCAGCTGGCCCAAGGCCCCCCAGGCTGGCTCTTCTCTCAGGAGGCACCGGGGGGGGGAATCGAACTCCCAACCTCTGGCTTGGCAGCCAAAGTCCTAAACCGCTGAGCTATCCAGTTAGCCTGCTGTGATTTAGATTGTGTTTTTACCCTTTCCATTAAGGTCTTCATAAGAATTATTGCTGGGTCTTTCAATCTCAGTGTGTACTTATTCTTAAGTGAGCTTACATGACAATTTAAATTTTGTACTGCCTTGTTCCTGAATTCTCTTGAGAGGTTGTTCAAGTTTTGTTTCCTGAAGCTGCGAGCCCTTTTGAAATTTCAGCAGGGGGGAAGTGGCGTACATCTGAGGAGGCAGGGATTCGAAGAGCATCCGTTACAAAAACAGATTATGAAAATAGATATTATAGTAGTTTCTGTTTGTCTTGGTTCTTAATTGATTTTTGGTGTACATAAATAGAATTTGTTCCACAAATTTAAACTTAAATGGTCCCCATCCTCACTCATCTTCATTCTGGCAGGTATCCATAAGAACAGTAGACGTCCTTCTAAATCTTGACAGCTTCCAAAAGGATGAGAGCAGGAATGGCAGTCAATGTACTGGCATGCGAAGCATCCCCAGAGCCTTCCTCCAATATTTTATTTAGCTAGCCTTTCATTCATTTATTCACAGCGCTTTTTTTTACTCCGTTACATAAAGCTTCTCAAAGCGAGGTCAATGGAAAAAGACCTAAATACTTTTTAAAATTCAAATTCTAGTGATAGATCAAATACCTGAAATTCATAAACAAAACCATCAGAAACCACGGGGATCCTTTAAAGGCACAGCTGGATAACAGTATTTTTAAACTGGCTTTGAAAT